TGGCAGGGGCCGGTGTCCCCGCGCAGCCCCGCCGCAGCCGCGCCGTCCTCCTGAGCGGGAGCCTTCCCTCCTGCTGCACAGCCGGGGATGGAAAATCAACCAGGCTTTGGAGCTCTTCGCCTTACTGCCTTCCCTCTCCAGAGGATAATAAGCTGCTTTTAATATTTGACATGTTTATTAACAGATGCAGTTGTGACAGCTGATGACTTCATATGCCAGTTACCACTGAAATGTTAGCAATAACTCGGAATTAACTGTCATAAATAAAAAAGACTACAAAGACAACTGGATGGTGTGTCACTCTGCAGTAATTTACTGAGACCCCGTTGGCTCTGGATGCAACACTGGAAGGTCCTTTGTGGAGCTCCAGTCCGGGTTTTGCAACAGTCACAATATTTTGGCTGGATATTGTCTTAGGAGGTGGTACTAGTGGGGTGGAATTCCCTCATGCAGGAGTTTGCACTAGATGCCTTTACAAAGCTGGATACTCTGGTAATAATAATAATAAAAAGCCCCTACCCCGTGGATGGGGATGGAGTCTACGGCACTGAGACCAGGATTTATTAATGTGCAAATTGCTCTGATATGATCACATACTTTCTGCTTTGCATACGCAGGGAGCAGCGTGGGCTGATGGAGTATGAACTAGCCTGGGCGATCTTTACGAGCTGAAATCCTGCACATCACAGAAGGGTTTGTTTCTCTGCGCAAAACCTGGGAAGCTGTTAGAAACCTGCTTTAAAAAACAAGTGAACAAAATAACCCAGACCCAAACGCACCAGACTTCTCCATGAACTCGCCATGAATATATTTTTCATTTTTTTTGACAGAAACGTGCGTGTAACTTTCTCTGGAGGCACCGAGGATTTTTGTAGTTGGTCTTGTAGTGTTTTAAAACTGAGAAACCAGTAGAGTCTTTTCAGCAGTGATGAGGGAGTGACAAGCCAGAGGTAAGGGTTTCAGAATGCATGTTTGTTTAGATGAAGCTTTTGCAATGTGGGCTGCTAATGAGGAACGCAAGCCTTGTCAGCATCCGACTTGCGGGTTTGCCTTGTGCAATGTGGATAATGAGTTCAGACAATGAAAGCTGTGAGAAATCACAGCGCGATCTGTTGGGATCCCCATCTCCCCCACCCCCGAGGTGCGTGGGGCTTTGCAGGGGAGCTGGGCTGCTGCGCCCCGTCCCCGGACACTCTTCTACCTTCCCAGACCCGGGAAGGGGACGCGCAGAGCTGGTGGCAATATTGATCCGTTCGCTGGGGCTCGTTGCCGATACTGGAGCAGCCCCAGGGTCGCGCCGGCCGCAGCGCAGACGCCGAGTGCTGCGCAGCGGGCTGCAGTGCCCTGCCGGCTTTCCCACCGACTTCCAGAGACAGGAGCGTGCCCGAGCTGAGCAATGAGGGGACGAGGCAGTTAAGCAGTTGCTGTCTCAATATCGTGGTGGCCGTGCCTAAGCCAGCCTCCTGCGGGGGACGGCACCCATGGGGGCACAGCAGGCGCCCGGAGAGCGCGGGGTAAGTACGTTCTCCCTGGGGTTTCGGACAGGGGATCGGTGGGGAAATGGTTAACAGCGATCATGGTAATAATTAGAGGTCCGTGTTAACACCCCGTGCTGATGTGCAGGGGAAGTGCTGCTGGATCCCGGCGCTGGGCTGCAGAGCCTGTGGGTTAGCGAGGGCTCGGGGCTCGCCGCAGCTCCTCGGCCGGGCAGGGACGCGGCTCCGCAGCGAGGGCGCGGGTCAAGGTGACACCCCAGCCCCCGACCTCCCGGTCCTCCCGCAGACTGAGCCAGGGTGCTGGGAGACGGGGGTGCAGGCAACTGGGGAACGGCCACCCCTGGACTGCTGGGGCTTCTTGTCGGTTCAGGCACATGCGTTCCCTTGGACGGCCCTGGGGACGCGTGGGGGGGTTCAGGTGCTGCACTTCGGGTGTGAAGGGGGGTCTTACGGTAAGAGGCATTAGAGCAGGGTAACACCGGCTGAAGGAAAACTTGCACGGCATGGCAGGCGTGGAGCCTTCGCTCTCCTGCGCAGGGGTCGGCGGGTGCCAGTGCAAATACCCCGTTACCTGAAGGTGTGCGAACCTGGGGCCGTGCTTACGGCGCTGTTTGTGGGGGGCAGGTTTGTGCTGAGATCCCGCGGGGACCCAGCACTTCCAGTAAAACATCTGCCTGGAGCGTTCTCCGGTTGGAATGATTTTGTCCGAAGGCCACCCACGACCCTGGAGCAGGTGAGCTCCTGACTGCCCGACCACCCCATCCTCGCCGCGGGGCCGGGGCCGCAGAGGCTGGGTGGGAGGACGGCGGCAGCGCTGCGGGCCTGGGAACGCCGGCGCTGCGACATGCCTGGAAACCACCCTGGAAAAAAGGCTCGTTTCAGCTGGATCAGCTCCCTGGCCCCAGTGCGGCTGCTGCGAGAGCAGCAGCACCACCCTGAGGGACACGGCAGGGAGCGAGCTGGGGTGCAGGGGCACCCGCTCCCGGGCTGCCAGGGCAGGGGTGTGACCCCCTGAGCGCCGCTGAAACAAGGTGGCCACACCGGCGTGCACAGGCAGCGGCAAAGCCGAGCACAAACCCAACGTTTCCATCGCCTCAGCTAGACCCGAGCTGGCAGAGCACCTCTGTGCCCGCACTACAGGGCCATGAATGCCAGAGCTGGGGGCCAGCTCAGCCCCCGGCCTGCGGGGATGGCCCTGGAGAGGGGAAGCGGGCGCCACGCAGCCGGGAGCGGCGG